AAGAGTGTCTTCTAATGACACTAAGTTTGCGTGAGGCACTGGTTAGGAGACCTATGCTGGGGCCCTGCTCCAGTGCCAGGCCACAGACTGGGAGGAGAAGGAGAGGCAGACTGGAATTAGACCCTTTTTTTGCTGGGAGAGGCAAGCCTCATCCAGGAATGCAGTTGTAGGTGCCAGTACTAGTCAGGAACCCAACGGCAGGCCTGAATCCCGGGCATTCAGAGGAAGGAGAACCCCGAGAGCTGAGATGGGCAAGCAGGGCCTTCTCAAGCCCTCACTCTTGTTTCTTTTCAAGCTTACTTCAGGGTTTCTTGATTGGTTTCAAGGTTGCTATGTTCCAGTGCGCATACCCGCAGCTTCACACCCTTCACAGTTCTTCTGCTGCTCAATGGCGCCCTCTAGTGTTTTTTCTTTTCCTTTAGCCTAAAGTTCCTGAATTTTCCTTCCTGCAGTTGAATCATAATCCACTTTTGATATGACCTAGATGTGGAGTCTGCCAAATCAGATGGCCTCTGGGAGCTGAGGGGCATGGGATTTCATGCCGTCACTTCATTGATCCAGTCACTTATCAGACAAGAAAAATGACGTCACAGCCATGACTTTGCTGCTTCGCGTCTCAGTTGGTGACTTCCTTCGTTGAGCCTCCTGTGAAACTTTTGTCTTAAAACTCCAGCATGGAGTAGAGGAAGAACCCCCAAACTTGGAGTCGAAAGCCTGAGTTTAAACTCTGGCTCTGATACTTACCTGTGTTCCTGGGCCAGTCACTTCTCCTTTTCTCATTAGTAAAATGAAACGACTGGACTAGATTATCTTTTAAGGCCCCTTGCAACTTTGAGAGGGCATTTCAGGGGGTCAGCAAACACCTGAGGATTCAGGAGGTTAAGGAATTTTATCGGGGTCACATGGCTAGTAGGTGGACACTGAGATGTAGTCACCATCCTCTACATCCTTGCTGCTCACAGCACTGCGGACGGAACAGTAGAATGAGCACAACCTGGGAACTTACTAGAAATGCAGAATCTCAGGCCCCACCCCAGTTTAATGGAGGAGCCTAAAAAACCACCCTTGTCCACAAAAATGGTGGCTCATATCTACTTTTTTATACATTTCAGATTTGAATTTGGCAAAGAGACATCCCAAACTCTGAAGCTTGAAAATGCCTTGTATTTTGATCGAAAATACCTCTTTGCAAATTCCAAGACGTACTTCAATTTAGCTGTAGATGAAAAGGGCCTTTGGATTATCTATGCTTCCAGTGTGGATGGCTCGAGCATCCTTGTCGCACAGCTGGACGAGAGGACCTTCTCTGTGGTGCAGCACATCAACACCACGTACCCCAAATCCAAGGCTGGCAACGCCTTCATTGCCCGAGGGATCCTCTATGTCACGGACACCAAAGATATGAGGATAACATTTGCCTTTGATTTGTTAGGAGGGAAACAGATCAATGCAAACTTCGATTTAAGAACTTCCCCATCTGTTCTTGCCATGTTATCTTACAATATGAGAGACCAGAATTTATATTCTTGGGAAGACGGCCATTTAATGCTTTATCCTGTACAGTTTTTGTCAGCTACATTAAACCAGTGATGGGATGCATTCTATTCCCCTCAGTAAATTTCAGCTGTTCTCTGGTACCATGCATATCCCAATAGAAAACTTGTCTTTAAGGGTGGTCAGGTACTTAGCTGTCATAATCACATGACATGGGTATTTATATGGTTGGTGACCCCCTTTTAATTCAGATTCTGTAGGAGAAAATAACAGATTGGAACTCAAGAATGGCTGATATTTGGTGATTCCTTTACAAACTAGCTGGGCAAGTTACCTCTCCCTCTTTAGGTTTTGTTTTCCCCACTAGTAATTTGAAAGGGCTGGCTAAGATGATTGGTAAGATTTCCTCAAGTTGTAGGGAATTCTGTGATTCTTAGCTGTTGCCGCTCTCACAACTTTTACATATTTGGTTTTGTTTTTTTGGTTTTTAGCTACATGCTGAGCAATTTTACCTCTGAGTTGATCAGCCTGATTGCTTGAGCAACAAATTCCTTAGTGATGACTTGGTGCCTTGGAAGCTGCACTGACCCCTTAAGGCTGCTGAGGTACCTTATTACCCCTAATTTATTACCTTTCTCTGCATCTGCACCTGCCACCAGAGCACCAGAGTGGCCATTATCCTCAGCTCCTGATTACCACTCCAAGATTAGCAAAAGCCAGGAAACAGGCCCTTCCAGGTTCCTATCAATTTTTGATCATGCTGATACGCAGGTTGGGTCATAAACATTGAATCCTCAGGTCTTGGCAGGGTTCTTCTGCCACAGATATGGATCTGCTATCAGAGTAAATTCTGTGCTAGTGGGCATTACTCTGGCGAGAACCTTGGGAAGCACTTTGCAGTTTTCAGAAGAGAGGCACCATTCGTGGTTATTATCTAGAAGAGGGATGAGCAAACTGTGACCCTCAGGCCAAAGCCAGCCCATCGTCCGTTTTTGTAAACAAAGTTTTATTCCACACGGTCACAGGCATTTGGTTATGTATTATAGTATCTGACTACTTTTCCTCTACACTGGCAGAGCTGAATCACTGCAAGAAAGTTGAGTAACAGCCCCAAAAACCTAAAACATTTACTCTCTGGCGCTTTACAGCAAAAGTTTGCCAACCCCTGATCTAGAATATAAAGTAAGCCTGATTCTTGAAAGGGCTTATTCACCTGAGCCTGTTTGTTATATTTTGTTTTGTTCCAGATGAAGAAGTGGTCATTTATATGGCTTGAGTTTTTGGTAAAGAAGAAGGGTGAGAACAGCATAAAATTAAGTGGCCCTTCCAAAAAGTAGTTAGTGAACTGTTCTGACCCTAATATAGCTTTAAAGAATGTGATCTGGTGCCTTCGGATGCAAGGAGAAAATATAATTTAACCTGCTCCTAAATGCCCTTAGATACGCATATTTTCTGCCAATTCAGTTCTTCGAACATCCTTCAGCCCAGCACTGAGGTCCAGGCAGCGCCACTGAGAGTCGAGAGGAATCTGGAAAGTTTCTGTGGTCCTGCAGCCAGGAAAGAGACGTAGGGAAATACTTATGTAAAGATTTTTCATCAACTTGCCCTCACTGAGTACATGAATGTGTTGGGGGGAGAGCTTCTGAAACTTTTTCACTGGAGCCAAATCGATTCTCAGTGGCCCTGAGTCCTGGTTTTATATACCTTACTAATAGAAGCATTTTAAAACTTAGGGGATGTACAGATTTAAATATTTAAATCTCCCCACACCCTGCATAAAACTAGGCAGCTATTAGGGAACTTATTGTTGTTGTGTTCTCAAAATAATGGGTATTTGAAACTTTTTTCCCCACTTTTTAATTAGATTGGTTGTGTCATGTCATCACAGCTTTTAAAAAATACTCTCTTCAGATTCATGTTTTATAACAAAGTAAAATAGAGTTTCATGTTCAAGATCAATGTGTTTAATATATACTAGTCTTCTTTTAAACTGTTTAAAAATATGCATTGCTGTTTCTGGACGTAGGGGACCTGAATATGTATATAATTTCATAGTGATAGTTGTAATAGTAATATATACAATACTAATTGTATATACAGTAGCAGCCAAAAGAGGTTACTTATTGAGTTAGCACATATTTCTTTTAGAAAAAAAGTTTTAGAAACCCTAGTCTTTATATTTGAGCTATCTTAGCACCCTTAATTTTTGGTAAGGAATCATATACTCACTCACATATACTCACATATAGCGAAGTTTATACTGGGATTTCTCTCTCTCTCTCTCTCTCTCTCTCTCTCTCTCTCTCTTTTTTTTTTTTTTGCTATGGCAGAGTAATATAAGGACAACTGAGTTTGACCAACAAACAAAAATGAGTAATTTCATAATAAGGGTGACAAGTTTGTCTTTACAGAGTGAAAAGAATTCAGATTGTACTCATTCTTTCCTGCAAACAGTGTTTGATTTAAAAAAAAAAAAAAAGAGAGAGAGAAAGGTTTGAGCTCATTGCTAAAATAGAATGTACCACCTAATGTTTTTAAGTCAAGATATCATTTTAGCAGTTTACATTGTCACTTATAACCAAAGTTACTTTAAAGCACTTTCCAAATGTTTGCACTTCTGATGTCAGAATCAAACCAGATAATTCTCTAATTCTTCTTTAATCTAAAGCAGATAGCTTCCCACCAGAAAGTAAATAAAACCACCCCTCCCAACCTCAAATGTGGGTGGACCCTATTTCAAAGCATTTTCTTGCAAACTGATAATGTGTCCTGTTGAAGCCATGTGGTGGTTATGGTCTCAACGTATCACTAAGCACAGGTGTTACGACAAAGAAAGAGTCCTGGGGGAAAAGTTTTAAAATGAGGAATTCTGATCTTAGGTACCTTCACAGTCTCTTACCTTCCAAGTTTGCAAGATAAAAAAGTCAAACGAGACACCAAAATGCTTGAAGAACCAGGTGTCATTTTATAGCTGCACAGACTACACTTTGGCTGTGACTGCCTGGCTGATCACAAACCAGATGAAGGAGAAGTTCGTGATCAGGCTTTTCAGTCTTCATGAAGCTGCTGTGACCTGGTGTACCACACTGCATTAAAAGCCATAATATCCAGTCTGTAACCACAGATTCTGAACTATTCTGAACAACAAATGAATCATGGTGAATGTCTCTTTTTTGGTTGGAATTTATTTCACTTTAATTAGTCAATAAAAATAATCATTGCTGAACACAATCACATGTTGAAACAAGTGTAGTGTTATCTTTACCTCTTATTAATTTACATGTAACATTTAAAAGAAAAAATAACAACCGAAAACCAATATTGTGGTAGAATTATATTTGTTGCTCCTCTGTTCAAACTCTCACAGTTTGCTAGCTCTTTTGAATACTGAAAAAAATCATTGATATGGACTATGTTTTCTCTATAGGAAAACATGAAAAAGGTACAACTAGTTACTAAAACTAGATACTTACAGACATAAATGCAATGAATATTTGCTAACTTATTGGCTTAGGTGAGGCAACTACAAAGGACATGACTTTTCAGGCTAAAAATAAAAAAGAAATTTTTTAAATTGGATTTGTGTGAATTTGGGCAAGTCTCTCAATCCCTCAGAGCCTCTGTTTCATATGTAAAATGTGGATAATAGTACTATGTACCTCCTTTGATTTTTCTACGAGAAATGCTCTAAATATTATATGATTCTTAATAAATTATAAATGCAACTTTTATAGTTCATCCCTACAGGGAACCAGAGTGACCCTGTTATTCTTACAGCCTTATTCAAGGGCTGCAGAGATGAGTGAGGGGCACAGCATCAACAGTTTCTATCTATTGGTCTGTTTGATGAGGTAGTTAACACTTCATGTCACCAAAAAATGGTCCCTTAGTCACACAACAAATTTACAATAAAACTGCCCTCAAATAATGAAAAAACAATTCAAGGACCTGCTGCCTTGATCTACAGAGCTTCTTTATAACCTTCCCTAGAAGTGTCTCTGTTACTGGGAGTCCCAGGCATGCGCTACTGATGACTTTTGTCTTTAAAATAATACAGAGCAAAAAAGAAATAAAAGTCCATGAAGAACATAGCCTTGCCCCTTTAATTGAACCATTCAGACCTTGCGTGGGATGTTAACATATCCAATCTTATAGCTGTTCACTCTGAGATTTAAAATAAGAAAGAAATTAACTTGTCTTCCTACCTTTCCCTCCAAGCAGTTTGCCATGATCAGTCTCAAAAACTGAGCTACTTGAAAAGTGGTGGTTAAACTACTTTCTAAAATCTAAAAAATTAATTTTAAAATTGCTAAAGTCTTGTGTCTAGCAATCTGGCATGGTCAGTGTCCCAAACTCATTTGCCAAGAGGCCACATACACAATCACAGGATTACAAATGGTCAACACTAGATAGAATCTTCACAATACCCACTTCAACCCTCTCATTTAAAAGCCTAGAAAAGTGAGGCCAGAGAAGATTCACCCAACATCACAGCTTAAGTGTCAAGGTAAACATGAGACACTGATTTCTGACTTTATGATCATGTTTTCCACCTCACTCTGCCACTTTCAAAGGAAAGATCTGGTCCCTGTAACAGGAAAGAGAAAATCATTAACTTTGAAGATTTTTTTCAAAAGGCATTCCTTTTTGAAAAGCTCTGTCTAGAGGAAAATGCCAAATCAAACCTAGTCAGGCAGAGAACACTCCCCACCAAAGAATTTCTCAACAGTCATCACCTTCTGACTGTTGGTGGATAAGCATGCTGAAGCAGCGCCACCTGTTACTCTAAAAACTGCCCCACGACAGGACAATTTTTCCTGCCCAAAGTTTTAGAGACATCAACACAACTACTGCCTGGTGTTTACCAGCTATGGGCCATGGTCTCTTCTAGGCAATCTGAACACATTATTTCACTTAATCATAGATGCTCAAGTGGAAAACTCCTTAAATATCATCTGTTCTCTCTGCTCAATGTTTTAATCCTCTCTCCAAGCATAGTAGACACTGTGATGCACTCACCACATGGATTCCACTTCAGGAAAGACTTTCTGCCCCTGGTGCTGGGAGTGCTGTTGGCATTATAGCCTTCAGCCGTCAGTCCCTTCAGGAATTGCCCCGTC